AAACTCTCTCTTTTCGCAGACGACATGATACTTTATGTGGAAAACCCAAAAGACTTCACCCCCAAATTACTAGATCTCATACAGCAATTCAGTAATGTGGCAGGGTTAGCAATTCTATAGCAACAAAATAACACAGAAGACTGACATTAAAATAGATATCAAGGTCTCCTGACACGTGCAACAATCATTTTGATTGTTTGCATTATATTTTAGTTCACGTGTTTTTTTAAAAAAGAAACACTCTACAACTTTGTTTTTTCCATAACTATGGCTGTAATTTTCTTCAGCAAGTTTCCTTTGTTCCTACAGCAAAGCATGTGTGTTGGTACATTGTTTCCTTCCCCTTCTGTATTACTCACTTCTCTTGCCCTCTGGTTCACTTGTCTGCCTAATTTCCTTTCTCACTTCACTTCCCCTTCTTCCACTTCTTTGTCATTGTACAAATACCGAAGTCTATGAATAATTGAGTCACTGTTTGCTAAGTGACTACATATTTGGAAGAAAAGCAAAAGAATATATTTTTAAAACGAGCTACTTCGAAGTACTTTTTATATGGCTCTATCATCTTCAAATTGACATTAAAATAATAAGCAACTAAGATGGGATTTTTAACTTGTACTAACATTGATAATAAATAATATCATAATATAAATATTCAAAAAACTCTTCTGGTGAAGGGAAAATAGCTGGACACAAACTGAAACATACTTCAGAAAAATAAACTGAAATACTGATCAGCCCACTTTGCCATTCAGATTTAACACAATCAGCTACTTCTAAATAGGAAATTCTCACATAGAACTCAAGGATTACAAATGAGATATCAGGTCAGGTCAACAAAAAAAACACTTCAAAATAAAAAATTAGAGGACACCTAGGTAAAACATTAAGGCACTCATATTTTTTCTTAATCAGAATGGATTTACCAATGACAACTAAGTCAAAATCACCAAAATCCATTGTAAAGTAAAGCTACAACAGGCCAATATTAACACTTCCCCATGGAAATCTGAATTTGTTTCAAAAAGCAGGACAAGCTGTGATTAACTGTGTCCTATAGCAAAACAGTAAATAACATTTTTAAGGCAACAGTATCTCTGACAAGTCATAAGGAGACATTAAGTTTAAACACTAGTTAAATATCATCACAAGAATTTTGTGTTGTACAATTAAAGACATCATCGAATCCACTGTTCTTCAAAATGTGGTGCATTGATACTAGAATCACTTAGGCAACTTGTTAAAAATTCATATTTTTAACTCAAGGACTTAACCCAAACCCACTGCATCAGACTCTCAGGGAAGGGAGCTCAGGAATCTGCACTATCAACAAGTATCCCAAGTGATTGTTACATTAAAGAGTAAGAACAGCTAATATGGGTGAATCTTCTCAAATTGCCAATAAGCAGCGGACATGTGAGGTTAAGCCACGTTTGCAACATTACTATTGTTACTATTGTTAACATTACTCCTGAAACACCCCACTTGTTAGGGACGACGGGAAACTAACATGCTGATCCTGGTACCCTCAGGCCAGTGCTCTCTATGCTTCCCCATGCTGCCGATTAGACTTATTAGGATTCAGAGTGCAAGGACAATTTAGAGGAAGACAACAGAAATCTAAGCTACAGTTAGAAAGTTTCTGGATTTACCAAGTGTTTCCTATTTGATCTGCTTCCTGCTTCGGACCTGCTCTTTCCATATGGAAAAAACATAAATGGTATGTATGCTCAGAGAGGAAATCAGCACAGATATTTGGCATCGCTACATCATTGCATTTGAGGATTCATTCCACCATGGTGAATCTTAATTTTTGAGGCCCCAAGTGAGTAATAGCACAGTACATTTGCCAAACTTCAAGTCAAGAATTTCAGCAGTTCAGAAGGCTGGGGGATAGGGTAGGAAGGAACATTCAAACTAAAATATAATTTATGGTTTGAAAAATGCTCACAGATGCATCCAGAAGTGTTTGTTCCCTCATTGCTTCCTCCTGTCTCTGAGATTTCAGCTCTTGCTGGAGCCTTTCATTTTCAAGCACAACTACTTGTACCCTATTTTTCATTCCAGAGAGTTCCTCCTGTAAAAAGCAGAAACAAAAATACCAACTACAGTAAGCATTTTTAAGCAGTGTTAATCACTCATTACTAGATGACCCAACATGATACAAAGCATGGAAAACATGCTATCTATTCATTTTCTGAAATATTGTAATTTTACTTAGACAAATGAAGCAACTCAAACATTAGCTAACAAACAAAAAGAAGCATGGGGGATATAGTAAAGAGCCTGCTAATGGCCATATCACAGAAATGTGTGGTTTCTGACAGTTTTTTTGTAGGCTTCCAGAAAGACTTTAATTAAAGGGGTTATCTAAAAAATTTTTAAGAATAAGGTAGACTTTTAAACAATAAGGTGAGATATATTATTACTCCTGCTCAAATGCTGACAACTTGTTGAACCTAACAGAGGATTAAAAGGATAACAGAGGACTCTGAGATAGGCATGGAAAGTTAGAATAGTTATCCACTGACTGGTAGCCAGATGGAGGGAAATTATGAGTGAGATAGTTTGGTGGAGAGTTCTCAAAGAGTGCTTGTCTGTCCTTGCAGGCATAAGATAACAGAATACAATAAGTAACAATTAGAATAGCTATTGGGTGGTGTCTCACTCTCTGAAAAAAGGTAAAAAATATCAATACATTGACGGCACAATACTTCATTACCAGTGTAATAAAAAATTATTAAGCAATATATGCAAGTTCCATTTCAATTATTTCATTCAGAAAAAAGCCAAAACCCAAGTCTATAATTGAAAGCTTTAATCCCCATACATTACATCATTAGTTTTAGATGAAGTGTTCCATGATTCATTGTTTGTGCATAACACCCAGTGCTCCATGCAGAATGTGCCCTC